CCCTCCTTTCTTCCTTCCCTTCCTCTCTTTCTTTCATTTTCAAGTTTGAAAGAGTCCAAGTTTCTCTTCTACTTCACACACACACACACACACACACACACACACACACACACACATGAATATACACAATTGAAAATCTATTGAATTATCTCTTCCGTCTTATAGATGATTCTTGCACTAATGTCCCTTTTTGACTGCTTTAAGTTTAAAAATAATTTTACCAGAATGAATATTCTAATCAGTTTTCTAAATAGCATTTTATAGTTGTAAAAAAACGTTAGTGTTTCTAAAATTAAATATGTAAAATGTCTGTTTTGTGTATGCAATAAACTGAGGTCTTGCTATGGCAGGATTCAAGAGTCATTATTCCTCATTGTATGAACATCCAGGGACAGGGGAATGGCTGCAGAGCCGTTCATGTCTTTAGTGAATGCGTTCCTGTCCATCTGGACTGTCAAGAAACAGTAGCATCACAAGGTACAAACCTTACTTAGTTTTTGGGGCTATAATGGTAAAATGCCATGGACTGGGTTTTTAAAATACAAGGTATGTGCTTTTGCATTTCTGAAGGCTGCTGGGAAGCCCCACGTCAACACACTGTAGTCAGTATCTGGTGGGGAATCCAATTCCTGCTTCATAGACAGCCATCTTCTGTCCTCACATGGCAGAAGGACCATACAGGCTCTCTGAGGTTTCTTTTATTCTAGTCTAATGGTTGGCTGTCATACTGTTCATAAGGGCAGACAGCCAACCATCCATCATGCCATGTCAACACTTAATAATGGGCCCAAAGAAACAGCAGCCCAGTCTTGGAATAGAAGCTTCTTAGGATTCAGTATCTCCATCAGGAATCTTCTAGAGAGGATTCCTCATCCTTGTCTACCAGGGCATTCTCGTTATTGATGACTGCTGGGCCTCTTTGCTTTGACTTCCTGTAGTGTAGTCCAACAAATCTTTTAGGTCCATTCTGTATCGACTCCTTAGTTCTATTTTATTTGCTTAGTCTTGAGTTCTTTTACAATTACTATTGCTTTATAAGCCTATGTTTATGTAAACAGATCATTTAACATGAGAATAATAGCAGAGGTGATGAGTCTAGAAACGCTTTAGAGAGGATCAAGCACTTGGGGTCAGTCTTGAAAGGAGAAGCAGGTAAAAAGGACTTCCTCTTTTTTTTTTTTTTTGAGGGGGGGTTTGTTTGTTTGCTTGTTTTGTTTTTTTAAATATCAGTTTCTCTTTGTAATAGTCCTGGCTGTGCTGGAACACTTTCTGTAGACCAGGCTGGCCTTGAACTCACAGAGATCTGCCTGCCCTTGCCGCCTGAGTGCTGGGATTAAAGGCCTATGCCACCACTGCCCAGCCAGAAGGACATTTTCTAAAAGTTAGAACGTAATTACACAAATTACCCCCTTCTCATCCTTCCCTTGTTCCCTCTCAGAATTATGACCTTTTTAAAAATTGTGTGTGTGTGTGTCTGTCTGTCTCTCCTCTACTCTATACCCCTGCTTAAATATATAAATACAACCTGCTCAGTCCATTTAGCGTTACTTGTATCTGTATGATTTCAGGGCTGACCATTTGGTATTGGATAACCAGTTAGGGGTCTCATCCCTGGGGAAGAGTATTTCTCTTCCTCTCAACATTCCTTGGGTGCCTATAGTTCTTTGTTTATGGGTGGAGCCTTGTGAGATTTCCCCTTCTACATTAGCGTATCTGTTGGTGGTATACTTCTTCACTTCTTGTTTAGGCAGGCATAGGGCAGTTGAGGTATCATGAATGAAACTTCCTTGTCATTTTAAGAGACAAAAATCTCACAGCCGATTTCCTGGTCCCCTGGCTCTTACCATCTTTCCTCCCTGTTTCCCATGGTTCTCTGGACCTTAGGTGCAGGAGTTGGATTATACACGTGTCCGTTGGGCCTGGGCACTCTGTAATCACTTGTTCCCTGCATTTTGACTGGTTTCTGTAAAGGTCTCCTTCTGTTACAGAGCAGAGTGTCTGACAGATGGTAAGAAGTACACTTATCTGTGGGTAGAAGGACAAACATTAAGAATGCAATTAGAAAGTTCTGTGTTTTAGCAGAGTGGCAGTTACAGGTTCTAGAAGATCCATGACCTTACTAGCCCTGGTAGTTGTCTTGATTTCTAGTGTCAGGAGTGATCTCCCTTCAGTCAAGTGAGGCTTACATCCAGTTCCAGAGCTGTTGGTTACTGACAAGGTATGTGAGCCACTTCTGCACCCTTAGCGATAACTTGCCATGATGGTGTCACTGTTGTGATTTGTAAGTGTTACAGCTGGGTAGGACTGTTGGTTGCTCCCTCTCTTGGAAGCTTGCATGGTGTCTTCCAATACGATAAAAGCTAGTCCTCAGGTAGGAGGCTTTCAAGTCAGATCAAGCTTGAGTCCACTAGGTTTTATGTCCGAAGTGTGTGGTGTCAAGAAGAACATTCTTGATAAAGATGCCTGCATGAAGAATAAAATGTGCTGCATTTGGGCTTGGGAAGAAATGAGTGTGACCAGGACTGCATAAGGACAGTAGGAGATAACCTGAGAATGGAGGCTTGGAACAGCTCCCTGGGCATCCTGCAGTTTATTTCCTGACCTAGTTCACAGTTGGAAGCACGACAGGTGTCAGCTGACCCAATTCTCGTCACATTTAAAATAGGGAACTGTTCATTTCTATATTTTCTGACGTTAATGATTGTATCTTTCATTTTTTGTGTACACATGTATATGCTGTATATATCGTATGTGCATGTGTGTAGGTGGATTTATGTGCACATGTGTGTACATGCAAATGTGGAGGCTAGAGATAGACCAGGTATCTTTCTCGATCACTTTCAACCTTATTTTTTGACATGGGGTCGCTCACTGACATTGGAGCTCACTGATTGGCTAGCCAGCCGGAGGTCCACATGTCTCCCCTCCCCCAGTGCCAGGGTTCCAGACACGTGGGCCTCGCAGCTCATTTCCTCGTGTTTGCACAGCAGACACTTCACTGGCTGAGCTCTGTCTCTCAGGCCTCTCATGTTTGTGCTTTTCGGCAGTTTCTTCCTGGCCGTTCTCTGCTCCCACCTTCGCATCTGTAGCTAAGGAAGCAGATGGGTGGTGCACGGTTGGCTGGCTGTGCTCCAGCAGCTAGACCCTGCCCTCCAGAGTCCGTGTGTGTATGCACTATTTGTCTTGTCCTCTGCAAATCATCGTTTCCCTTTTCTTCCTAGGACTTGGCGTTTACTCTGGAGGAGAGACAACAGCTAAACATTCATGGGTTGCTGCCGCCTTCCTTCGTCAGTCAGGAGATCCAGGTCCTTAGAGTAGTTAAGAATTTCGAGCGTCTGAATTCTGACTTTGACAGGTAACACATTTATGAACATATTTCTCTTAGGAAACACTCTTCCCTGTTGCTTTTTTTGTAAAAGAAAGTTGAGCTATTTACATGATTTGGAATGGATAGTTAACTTTAGGAGAATTTGTTCACAAATGCAGTGATTTTTTTTTTTAAGCATTTACTATCTTTAGGAACATTTGAGTGAAATATTTTTATAATCTATTCTCAGTTTACCTTTCTCAAGATATTTTTCTATGAGAAATGATATCTGCCCATTCTTATTTAATATATTATCTATTTATATGTAAACATGAATATTCTTAACAAAAGAAGGAAGAAATGTCCAAGAAAATTTCTGCCCTCATTTCTAAAATTGATCATTGGTGGTTACTGGTGTTTATAACTGCCTTCTTCTGGGAGAGTGACGAAGATTTTCAGTCCTGAACAATCTGGGCCTTGGTAGTGCTTCCTAGCTTGGCATGAGTTTCTGTCTACAGTACAGCAGGACAGTATCTGATGGCAGGAAGGGGCGGCCATCTTATCAAGTACGTTTTCTTTGAAGGAAATGCTCACGGGAACTATGTTAGTCCCTTCTGAGGACAGTTTTCCCAGTGACCTGCCTTCTGCTAATGTCACCTCTTGAATTCCCCAGCGCTGTTCTGGTTGGCACATTGGAGACTGAGCTTTCTGCACACAATCACACACTTAAGTGATCTCTAAACCACACCAGAGATCAGTGTGCATAGGGCCTTGCTATGTTAGTGAACACAGATTTTCAGGACTTTTCAGTTGTACGAAGCAGTTTGAATTTTATTGAAGTTATTGGTAATGCAAAAAGGGTTATATTCATAGAGAGATAACTAGACAAGAAATGCCTTTACACAGAGAAAGGCCACTAAAAGCTGGGTGTGGTGGTGCATTTGTTTAATCCCAGCATTCAGGAGGCAGAGGCAGGTGGAACTCTGTAAGTTCTGTGTCAGCCTGGTCTATATAGTGAGTTCTAGGCCCCCCAGGACTGCATAATGAGACTGTCTAAAGAAAGAAAGGAAGGGAAGAGAAGGAAGCAAAGAAGGGCTGTTAGTTTGCTTAAGTTAGTGGTTAAACTATATTGTGATATTTTCATCTCTTTAATTATAAAATAGAGACTACCTCTGTCCATGTACTGAGCAAAATTATGTTATTTCACAATAGTAGTAATGTTTAAATGGTAGCAACCCAATTTGGGTTTCCTCATTCTTTGAGATGTTGAGGTTTTTTTGTATGTATACATTTGTGTCTGTGTGCACCTGTGTGTGTGTGTGCATGCACATGCTTGAACTTGTAAAAGTTAGGAGTTGATGATGAATATTTTTCTCTCTAGTATTCCACCTTATTTTTTGAGACAGTATGTCTCACTGAACCCAGAGCACACCGATTGACTAACCTGGCTGGCTAGTGAGATCTGGGGATCTTTGTGTCTGCAACCCCAGCACCAGGTTATAGATATTGGACCACTGAACCCAGGTTTTGCTCTGATGTCAGAGATCCAAACTCAGGTCCTCCTGTTTGCACCTCAGATACTTCCCCACCCAGCCATCTCCCCAGCCCCTTGAAGGATATTTCTGAAAACGGTCGCTATTGTTTTTTAAACACAGGGTCTCACTGTGTAACTCAAGCTGTCCTCATACTTGGTCCTGCCTGAGTTGCCCAAGTATTAGGATTAGAGGTGCATGCCACCATGCCTGGCTTGATTATGTGTGGGAATGTTATTTTAAGATGTGTTACTTTTGTTTATGTTGCATTTGTTTTACTCTATGAAGCTGTGTTACTTTGCCTGTCTAGAACACCTGATGGTCTAATAAAGAACTGAATAGCCAATAGCAAGGCAGGAGAAAGGACAGGCAGGGCTGGCAGGCAGAGAGAATATATATATATGAGAAAAAAGAAGTAGCCAGAGAAGGAGGAGGACTCCAGGGGCCAGCCATCCAGCTGCACAGCAAGCCATGGAATAAGAATAAGATTTACAAAAGTAAGAGAATGGGAAAAGCCCAGAGGCAAAAGATAGATGGGATGATTTAAGTTAAAGAAAGCTAGCTACAAACAAGCCAAGCTAAGTCCAGGCATTTATAATTAAGAATAAGCCTCTGTGTGATTTATTTGGGAGCTGGGTGGCGGGCCCCCCAAAAGAGTAAAAAAAAAAATTATGCGTGTTTTCTATTTGACTAAAGATGTACTTTATACTTGCTTGTAATTAGAATTCTAATAGCCATATTTACTATTGGATTTTGACTGTTGTATGTAGATCTAATTGTGTCCAATTTCCACAGGTATCTTCTGTTGATGGATCTGCAAGATAGAAATGAGAAGCTCTTTTATAGTGTGCTGATGTCTGATATTGAAAAATTCATGCCTATCGTTTATACCCCCACTGTGGGTCTCGCATGCCAGCAATACAGTTTGGCATTTCGGAAGCCAAGGTATGTAAACTTTTATTTTGGATACAAATTTGTATTTTATCTTTTTGTAATTTTTTTATTTTGTAATTGACATGAGTTGTATTAGTTTATCATGCAGAAAATGGAGAAATCAGGAAATGGCTAAATGGAGCGAATTCATGTTTACATTATAAATTCTATTTGGCAATTATTCAAGCTAACTAAAATATATATTATCAGTGATTTTTGACAAGAACACTGAAACCAGTCTCCTAGAAAATTCAAGAATATAACATCTTGGAGAATGGAGAGCTGGCTCAGTGGGGAATGGCTCATACTGCCGTTGTAAAGGACCTGGGTTTGAGTTCAGTTCCCAGCACCCACACTGGGCAGCTCACAGCTGTCCCTTACTTCAGTTCTTGGGATTCAACACTCTCTTCTGGCTTCTTTGGGCAAGGCAACTGCATTTATGTTCATATATACACTCATGCTTAAATCTTAAGTATTTAAGTAGTGAAAAAATACGTTTTCACTGGTACACAGCAGGTCTCTAAGCAGGTCTCCTTATCTAATTGAAATTCTGCATTATTGGACAAGCCTCTCCTAATCTTGCACCAAATCTTGTAGCCCATGTGTAGCGGGAATCTTAGAGAGTCTTATTAATAAAATCAAACCTGAGCCAGGTATTGGGGTGAATGCTGGTAGATCAGATGCAGAACAAGCCACAGCTATCTCACCTTGCCAATTCCTTAGCTGGTCTTGTTTCCTCAGACTGGAGGCCTCTGAGTCCTCATCCAGAATGGGTCTCAGCTGAATTGCTGCTCAAAAGCCTGAAAGCTTAACCAGCCAAATGCTTAACCAGGTCAAATGCTTCTAGTTTCTGGTCCTCACGCCTTATATACCTTTCTGCTTTCTACCACCACTCCCTGGGATTAAAGGCTCACTTCTGAGATTAAAGGCGTGAGTCACCATGCTTGGCTCTATCCTTGAACACATGGATTTCTGCCTCTGGAATGTTAGGATTAGGGGCAGGTGCTACCACTGCCTATCCTTTATGTATAATATTGTGGCTGTTCTGTCTCTGACCCCAGATAAGTTTATTAGCATGCACAATATTTGGGGAAATACAATACCACACCCATGGTAAGCTAAATCAACAGCCACCCTTTTATGAAAAGAATGGCTGTTGATTTAGCTTATGTAGTATGTAGGTCACCAACTTCTGTTCCCTTTTTTTGGAGTTCCATTGGCTGAGCTCTAACAAGCGTGTCAGTTAGAATGGCACGTGAAAAAAAAAAAAAAAGACTTACCTTTCTATGTTTGGCTGTTTCATGTAACACATTGTCCTCCACATAAAAACCTAGGGTTTTTACAGTGACGGGGTACCTTCCTTCTTTAAGGCCAAATGGTGTCCTGTTGTGTGTGTATCTTCATTCATTCATTTATTACAGACATTGAGTTTGATTCTGTATCTTGTGTATTCTGAATCTGTTTGACAGACTTACAGTGATACCTATTTGACAGAGTGATGTCATTTTTCTTTGGATCCATAATTAGTAGTGAGATTGGTAGAAGTTTTGTTTTAAAATTTGAGACACCTTCACACTGTTTTCTGTACTGGCTGTATTAATTTCCCTTGCTTCCATCATTGGGTAATTTTCTTTTCATTCATACCCCAGACAGAATGTCTCTCATCATTTCAAGGATATCCATTTTCACACATGTCAAATGATAGTTGACTGTGGGTTTAATTTGCATTTCATCGATGATTAGTAATGTTGAATACATATTCATACACTTCTTGTCATTTATCTGCCTTAGATAATTTTTTAGAGATTCATTTGTTCTATTTTATATGTATATGTTTTGCCTGTATGTGGCATATGCATCACACGCATGCCTGATGCCCTGGGAATTTGAGGAGGGCATAGGCTTCTTTTGCTTCCACTTTCTGGGATTGCAGGTGTATGCCACCACACCTGGTTTATGGGGTGCTAATCAGAGCTGTGTGTTTGCTAGGCAAGCGCTCTGCCAGATAAGCTGTGTCCCCAGCTTCCCAGATCAATTCTTATATTAATAATTTTATTCCTAAGGATTGCTAAGGGAAAACGCTGCAATATGCATTTATGGGTTTCATGAGGAATTTTTTTCTCTTTGGCATGGATACTTTGTGTTGGATTTCAGGATGTCATGGATAATCATTTTTCAGAATGTTGTTGGGGTTGATTAAGCCGTCTTATTTCCATATGCCCATAGCACTTCAATTCCTATAGAATTCTGCATATTTGGTGTTTCTGTCTGCTTATCACAGCACACTTAATTGTGGCTAACCTTTACGCAGATGGCAGAGACAGCTCTCTGTGTCTCTGAGCTCCCTGTGGTACCTGAATTACTTACTAATGTATCTTATGAAACGTTTCAGAAAGCATCACACAAATTAATAATACAAGTGTATAAAGCAGACTTAAAAAGTTTCTTTGGAAGTATTCCTACTTACTATATATTTTAAACTTAAAAATGTTAGATATTGATTTTATATGTATGAGTGTTTTGATGGCATGCACATAAGTGCACCACATGCATGCCAGGTGCCTGTGGAGGTCAGAGAGAGCATCAGAGCCTCTGGAAAGAGAGTTACAGATGGCTGTGAGAAGTCCTGTGGGTGCTAGGAACCAAAGTGGGTCCTCTGCACGAGCAGCCAGTGCTCTTAAGCACCGTGCCCGAGCCATCTCTTCAGTCCCTGCCTCCTGTATTTTCAAAATCCATTCCCCCCAAAAACTCAGTCGTTTTTAGTACTTTTTAGCTACATCTCATTATACTATATTTTTGATAACCATGTTCTTACCTTTGATATTTTTAATGTTCTGTCAAGGTTATTTTGATCCCTTTTGCTAATACCCTAATATTTGTTTAGTCATAACCAGGTTATAAGGTTCTAGAGAGGGAAATGTTTTTTGAGACAGGGGCTCGCTGTATATCCCAGTCCAGCCTTTGTTTCCATGTGTAGATGAAGGTACTGTCAAATTCACAATGCTCCTGCCTCCAGCTGTGGAGCTGGGGTTCTAGGCATGCACCACCACACTGGGCCCGAAAGATCATTATTACAAGTTATTCTTGCAGTCCTGCTGAGTAGGTCTAGTTCCTGGCTGGCTCGTTTAATGTGCCCTTTGTGCTATCTCATTGAAACAGTAACTTAGGACTATCCTGTTCATGTGCTCTTAGAGAAAATGTTAAGTAATGATGATCCATCATTCCTTAATATGTTTATGCATATTATTTTAACAGATGGATCCTTGTAAATAATTGATCCTGAAGGAAGTGCAGCTCTAACAAATCAATCTATGAGAACAAAGAATTTTGACTGGGTGTAGACAGCCTGAATGCATGCCTTTTCCACTGCTCATCTTTAGGTGGCGAATCATTGATCTGATTTTGGCAAACAGGTGGAGCTAATACAGATTATTGAAAACAGTTTAAAAAGCACAACAAGCATTTCCCAAGATGAGCAGACTAGTACTGCTGGGTCACCAAAAGTCAGGGTGGAAACAATGGTCAGTGCTCAAATTAGGTGGAGAAACTGCAATCAAATAGAATTCTTGGCTTCGTAGTTCCTTAGAATAATACCTATTTTGTGAGTTTTGGAAGGGTAGGAGTTGGGCATAATACAAACGATATAGCTGGAATAATCTTCAACACAGCGCAGCGGCTCCTCAGCGGTGGTTATTGTCAACAATATTATAACAACTCCCAAGAGTTTGTGGGTTTTTGGGTTTTTTTGATTTTTCGAGACAGGGTTTCTCTGTGTAGCTTTGCGCCTTTTTCCTGGAACTCACTCTGTAGACCAGGCTGGCCTCAAACTCACAGAGATCTGCCTGGCTCTGCCTCCCAAGTGCTGGAATTAAAGGTGTGTGCCACCACTGTCAAGCTACTCCCAGGATTTTTGATGTCTAAATCGATGGAGGGTATTATTCACCAGCTTTATAATAGTAGCATATGTTTGCAAAAGAGAAAGAAGTTTCAAGGGTCTTTTGGACAGATCCAAATAGACAGATCTAGAAGTCAGTTAAATGTATGGACTGGGAACTTAGTAGATGCTATATTCAAAGATTCTAATGTTTTTATTATAATTTGTCTTTATTTCTGAGAATTTCACATGTGTATATAATGAAATATAATCAGCTTCTTGAACTTTCTTACTCCTTCCATCTCCCTCCAAATTTCATGACCCTCCAACTTTTGATAATCCAGTTAATGCTGTCCAGTTGTACACGGGTGTGACATTGTACCTAGGGAGATATGAATCAATGTCTACTCACCCCAGATAGGGAACTCATGACACACTGAAGTTCAGATGCCACCAGAGTCCAACTTCCTGGACCAGTGAATTGGATTGGGATTACTTACAGGAACAGGAATGACTCAAAGGTGCCTGCATCACCAAACCAACCGAGCATGGGTGACAAAGCATGGAAGCTGGAAACCTGTGGTGTAGGCAGCTTAGCAGGTCGGGGAGTATCCTTTCCAGGTAGTTTAGTTTGTCTCTGCTTCTTCCAGGCAGCTTGGCTTGGCTGAGCAAGTCTCTCAGCAGTCCTTACTGCTTACCTATGCTTGGGCAGGGAGTGCCCTAGTGAATCTGGTCAGTTTGGGGGACTTCCTGAAGCCATTGTGTTTGTTCACTTACTGTAGGATGGAATGTTTCAACTCCCTTAGCACGTCTTGTTTCATCTCCCCAGTTAACATCCAGTGTCTTAAGAAACTTCTTTCCAGAATGGGAGGTTTAATTCTCAGGAAGCAGGTACATGACACTCCTCCAGTAGCTGTCAACTGCTGATAGCTTCCAAGGAAGGGATGGGTGTTCTCTGGAACGCCTCCTCAATCTATTGCTTTCCTTTTTTTTTAATAGAATTTTGACTGTAAAGCTTCTAATGTTTTAGTTTGAACATTATATATACTACACAGATTATATCTGTTTTAATTTTGACAATGATAAAGAGTATCAAGGCTGATTGTTGAAGAGATTCAGTTAGTAAGATTTCTAAGTT